ATTCCTCGTGTCCACCAACCCGGTTAAAGCACCGGATATTCACTTTTCGCCCTCTCAAATTCGTAGAGAACAGTAATGTCGAGAAGAGGCAGTGTGTAGGACTTCCCTGGCAGTGGTTGTATGCACGCAGACATGTGAGAGCATTTCAACAGAGAGAGCTAACGCGTTCCACTCTCGGCCGTACCAGGGCATTTGTTAACTTCATATTTGATGCCTATCAATACAATCCAGCTGATCAAATAATAGTGGGTTAAACAGGATTCAAACTTATGGTATATATATATATATATATATATATATATATATATATATATATATATATATATATATATATATATATATATATATATATATATATATATATTCCAGAAAGGTGAAATTTAGGATCTCGGTTTGAAGTGTTACATCTAAGCTAAACATAATATTTCTGCTGTTTTATTAATTCACTTAGATTTTTACCTACGATCTAATTTTAAACAACTATACAACATACTCAATTTATTCATAATGTAAAAGAACTAAATTTCTGAATAAATTTTATATACAACTATTAAAGACTTCAATTAATTCTTTCTAGACAGGAATTAATTAAAAGAAAGAAAACATCTCAAAGTCTTGACAATATACATAATGAAATGTAAGAAGGAAAAAAATAAGAAGAAGAATAAACGAAATAAACAATTACCTTATCTATTATTATTATTATTATTACCAATCGATTAGTGTATAATCAATAATTTTATTTACAATACAGACTATATACAAACATATATCTACAAAGTGACCAATCTGTCTGAATGAAAAGTAGGAAATACGGAAACTGATTGTGGACAGGACTAGGCATATATTTCATTCATTCATTCACTCATTCATTATATGATGAGAATTGTTAGACATCAAAACTGTCATGGATAATAAATTATCTATAATTTATTCATTTAGTCAACAGATACTGTTAATCGTTTTTAAAGGGGAACAAAGAAATATATACACATATATATATATCTTTAAAAAAAACACAGAACGAAAAAAAAAGCCAAAACAGGTAATGGCTTATTGGAAAGTGATCATTCTCTTCATACAAATAAAGACGGAGAATTTCGAAGAAAATAGACTCCAACAAAATAGCATATATATATATATATATATATATATATATATATATATATATATATATATACATTATGTATCACAAGTTTGACTATTAAAACTATAACATGTAATCAAGGATACTTGTCAAAAGAAAAAAAAATTATAAAGTGTATATTGCTCTCCAAAAAATACAATGATATAATTTAGACTATGCATAAGATTGTAGTGGTGGTGGTGGTGGTGATGGTGATGGGTGGGGGAATGACAAAAATATAAACTATTTCCATGCAAAATATACAATATCGAAGCAAAAATACCAAAATTGATTAATGATTCAACTAATGGCTTGTATAAAAAGTCGAAGAAAAACAAGAGAAAAAAAGAAAAGAAAAGAAAAAAAAGAATGAAATATGATAAAACCTTTTAACATATTTTTACATTTATATACAATCAAAAGAAAGATTGAAAATTTCATTTCCTTCATGATTGGTTACCGATAAAGTATCTTTCAATATTCACTGACAACTTGTATTTCATTTAAAACAACTAACATATTTTATTTCCTGTTAATAAACTTATTAACTTTCTTTGTATTGATTCAGAATTTAAGAAGTCTGTTTCATTCACTGATTAATAGTTTAATATGTAAGCTTCAGTCTAATCATATTAATCATTAATAATTCTTTACTTTCTAATTGGAAGTATATGTATTGTAATAATTCAAGAAATCACATTGTTTTACTAAGCTTGATGATATTAATCCCCTATATTAGTTATTGAACTGAAGCCTAGAATGAAATGAAATGAAAACCTATTATAAATAAAAACCCTCTTTTTTAGAGAGAAAAACAAATAATATACCATTGGATAATGGGAAATCAGGAAACAAGGCAAATTATAGTTACGAAATTGATAGATGTACCTAGAATGAATAATGATTGTTAAATTTTGTAGTTTTAAAAGACTAACGACAATTATCTCTCCTCATCGAATGTGTTATACAATTGAAAATATGAGATATAATTTATGTAGTAATATTTTGAAGTGATTTTGACAATGAAATATTTATCAACATACTATAGATCTTTCTCCATACAATATATTCCTATTTTCATAACCATTGTTTCCTTGATGAAGTATTCATAAATTTATGGTAAAGTTTTCCTAGCTATTTCCACAATCATAACATTAATTTATTGACTCAAGGATAGTACTGTTTGCTATAAACCCTATTTTACATAGAATATGCTTCCTTCATACTGAGTGTAAAATATTACTTTAGAAATGATTTGTACCAATCGCTAGTTTCACAGTGGAAAGTGAAGTAGACGAGTGCATTGAAAGATCTACCTGTCTTGGAATTCTTGGCGGGTTGATGGTTGAGCAAATCTAAGTACGGGTGCAAAATGCTTTTTCAGCTTTCAACATCTTACACTGCTTATGAAACAGATAAAATATCCATCTGGTAACAGTCTAATCTATATGGCTCTAAGAAGGTGAAACGTTCTGGCTAAAAATAGAAAGTATGAAAGTAGGCTATAAATATTCGTAGAATCACGAAGTTATCTCTAAGTTAAGGGTTGTTTACCTGGAAAAACGAATTCGACTGATGAAACCCTAAACTAACACCATATGAGGTGTTTGAAGTAAGCATCACACATCTCCTAATCCGGTGAATAATACTGGTTGGAGTTAAAATATATTAAAAATATGTTAATGTTTGCTAAACGAAGAAACAGCCTTAAACCATAGAGTTGTCGACCGCTTTCCCGAGGAGGGTCCGGAAATGTAGATTCCTTAGTCTGGACGAAACGTATGATTTTCATTTAAATTTTACGACGTCTGCTAATGAAAATCCTCTAAATAAAATTGTCGTATTTGGAGTCAGTGGATAGTATCACTATCTCAGATATACTAAACTTGTACAGAACACTTTATCGCACATCAAGGATAAAAGTTCATGAACACTGCATATTGTCATTTGTTGTTACGACTTTGTAGAATGCAATATATATCTCCTAGTTTCCGTGGGAGTCTAGCCAACGTATTTAACAAAGCCTACTGATGTCAGGTTATCCTTTACCTATAATCTACAGCAGGAGTATTGATGCTTCATTTAACAATTTATACACTTTGAGAAACAAGACAATAGCAAAACAGGAACACACAGCCAATTATGCTAACGGAAAAAAGAAACTTCGGCGAGGAAAATTTTCTACGCTGAATTCTTTTTACTTATTAAAAGGGATATTATTAACATAGACGGGATTCATAAAATGTAGCCTTACTGTGTTACTCCAACAAAAAGTTTCATATCGTGATGTTCATTAAAAATATATGTTCAAAAAGTAAACCCATTTTTAATTAAGTCTTTATACGTTATACATGTAAACTAAGCCACCATGTATTCGAAGTATATAGCTCAATGAGCGGTAATGACAAAAATGATCGGATACGCTCATAAGCATGAAAATAATTCTGAAATACCTCATAAAAATTACCTAACACAGTAATTGTGTATAAGCCAGACAAAACAGAATGTTAAACTAGTGAAATTACGGACCAGGAATACCACAGAAAATCAAATCGGTCTTAATATTTCTGTGAAAGCCACTTAAGCATATCATGATAGTTCATGTAAAACCGGACCATTAATAACCGTTTAAAATGGTCGGATAGAAGAACTCAAAGATGTAAAATAATTAGATCAAAATGTCTTAACAACAAGTTTATGATTTACCCAACCAGCAGTTCGTATAGAGTTTATAGGAAAGTCACATTCTACATTAAATGATAATTTAAAACAGACATTGAAAAGATCGTAATAAGTACCAAAGCAACCCAATGGTAAATTGCAGTCGATCTAAAATAACGATCTTATTTACTGAACAAACATCGTATATAAAAACGACCACTTATCCGAAATAATATAACCTCAAATTATCGGCATTACTGGAATTGATTTTCAGTATATTTGGTAGAGACTTTACAGAAACAAAGAGTGATTCACTGAAATAAAAACTGACGTCATTAGATACGGTAAAGTGTATGCACACCTCTACATACTAGCTGCTTGACCACAAAGAATTTTGTAAACATCTTGTCCCCCTAGATGTAAGTCCCAGACTTTGACAGTCGCATAAATTTCAGATTGTTGGTAGACAAGTAAATAACACAGAAACACTGTTTAGCGATTAAATGATTTGATTTATGACAGAGTAATAAGTTTTCAACTTGTAACTTATGTAGATCGAAGATCCGTTTGTTAGTCCAGCTAGTTATTTAAATTAATTACTGACGTTTAGCATTACATGAAAACAACTAGTCAGTGTTTGAGATTCATATTCACAAGCCTAATATTTATGATCCATCAACAAAAGTTTATTCACAAATAAATAAAGAACCAACAGCTTATTCAGCAGAAATTAAGTCAACATGAAAACCATGAAGTTAGAATTAGACAGCCTTACACTCTGCCTTGTTGTACTCCAAATTACGAACAAACAAATGGATAAGCAAAAAGTTTTACGTGGAAGGGATAGCAGGATGATGAGATAAAAAAACCCAATTAAGTAATGTGATGGTACATAATTCCAACTTACAGAACTAATACTACAAGCGGTATACGCCAAACCTACACGTAAATTCGTGATCACAAAAACTTTTTATCTAGAGTAAGAGCACATGTTTTGAAGACTGATGATGAGTACTTAAATTTTACTTGCATAATACACAAACTGAATACAATTAGCCGGGCTTAACAAAATGAGTTAAAATAATGGTTTTTCTTAATTTTAGTAATTAGTTCAACAGTACGATTATGCTTAAAATTTTTTATTGAAACCCTATTTAATCGATTTATTATGTAAAACCACAAAATTAAAAATAGGACAAAACTATGAACTTACTTGGGTTTCGCTCTCGATGACCAACCTAACTTTATCTTCTGTAAGGTTTTCTGAGGATTTCTGCTGTTCTTCTTCTTCTCCTTCATCTTCATAAACTTTGACTTCATCAGTACAGGCTAAATTATCAGAAGCGGTGGAGCTTAACATAGTTTTTTTTAATTCAAAGATTTAAATATAACTCCAAACTAATGTGAAATATGCAAGTATTTGATATGCATGACATTCAGTTATTTGAAAATGACATCATAAGTTGACTAGCTCTTAACGTCCCAACACGAGGGAACAACACTTTTTGCGAGTAGAGCGGAATCTGCATAACCTTTTTCTAGGTTAGCTAAAAGTTTGGTTCGTTTATTGATTCAAACAAACGCCAGTCAGACAAGTGCAGTCATACAACTGCAATGACCATTTTATTAAGTAACCAGAAAACTTTAATTAAATCTAACTCAGCAGCTTTTATTTAACTCAGAAACTGCTAACGTTGGTTCTAGTATCTAACAAATTTGTACAGATATAGCTTTCAAATGGTTCGAATGGTTATGAATGACACTAAAACTTTTTCGCTCAACGATATTCTGGTTTGACATTGATAGATTACCTATTCATTCAGGTTAGGATTTAGGTACATGATTCAGAAGAGTTAAATGAGGCCTCATCAAATCGATACGAGATGCTATTGCGAGTCTTCGAAAAATTATCAAGTTTCTTTTCAAACGACTCAAACGGACCAATAAGCCTCTTTACAAATACATCTTGATGTTGAGGAACAGTTTTAGATCACTGAAAAAGTTCATCAACTGTAATTTAGCTAGTCAAATCGCATAATAACTGGGAATTAGATTCATTTGGAGTACGTTCTATTAACATAGGTACGAACGGCAATGCCCTTTAAGTAGCCTCTTAATTAAGAAATAAGTAACCTCATGAGTAAGTATGTCAGTGAAACTTCATACTTCAACGTGTCAAATACTACGAGGGATTGGGAAATATTGAATGTTTAAAGCCAGTGGAATGTCAGCAAGCCTTAGCCAAATCACATGTTAATCTGAATCGTTTCTGTATTTCAGGATAGGTAGCTTAGAATTGACTAGATCACTGGATATTTTTAGAATCCAAGAATAAGTAATACAAATAGATGGATACACTCTATGAAAGTGGCGTTTGCAGCACCCGATCGCTCATGTACTTTGTACTTCTCCGTTCTCTTCGCATTTGAATAAATCGTTTATATGAGTAGGCTCCATTTATTTTAGAATTGCAACGCAAAAGCATGATAGACTCATTATCGCGTGTGGTAAGCCAGGCTAAAAAAATTATGAAGTATAGTGACTTCAACATGGTTCGGGCCCTCAAAACTTTCCAATCCAATCCAAACAAACTAAATATCTGAAGATGCATGGGTACATTCTGATACCAGTAGTCTGCTTACCTATTCCATGTCAATAGAGTGTTTGCGACACTAGAGTTTGTTTTCATCCTTTACCAGGATCTACAATGACTAAAATCAAATTAAAAGAACTATCAATGAACAATGCCAGCTCGAGCCACTCTCATACTTTGCCTAGAAGAATCTTTGCTGAAATGCTCACAACCTAAAGTGTGTCGAGGTAGATTACGCAGCAGTCGAGAAACGACATCTCAATACTTTAGTATAATTAGGTATGTGTTGTTAAAACAGTAAGTTAGTTTTGCAAACAGATTTTTTATTTAAGTTCTGACGATTAGCCTGGTTAAACGATTTTCTTAAACACAGGATCGCAACAACTAATTTGTCATGAATTTTTAATGCGACCAATGAGTTTTCGCCATACTTCTCTTCCTTGTTAATCTGACAACCAGTTTTAAACTACTAAGTATAATTTGTAAGGTTGTATGTATGGGCCTTAATAGAGTATAGCACGGTCCATAGGCAACACTATACCGACCCCATGTACAGGTTCTACAGTTTGTCAGTGTAGGTAATGAAGGCCAATGTGTCTTAGAAGTTGGCGAAGTAGTCGCTTATGAGCGCCCTAAAAATGATATGTGAGTCGCTCAATTCGACTGTAGTGTAACTCAATATATGTCAATTTCGGCCACAAATTTATGACAAAGCTTGTCTCAAATAATTACCTAATTTTTCATAGCTCAACGTAGCACTAGTTTCTTAGCAACAGCTGCGCCTCAACGTCCGACTTCCTCACCAAGACCATCCGTCTCTTATAAGGCTATTTATTTTATTGAGGCATTTCTTTGGTACCCCCATTTATCCTGTAAACGTTCTTTCGATGGTTACAGATAATCATAATGACACCTTTACAAATGGTCATGTGAATAACGCTCTTAACTTCTGCCGAGGATACATCCTCATTTTCGAGTAAGTTCTTCGACTACAGTGAACCTAATGGAGTTTCTAATCCCGCAATAATTTTCATGTAAAGCCTACGAAGAGTGGAGAATTTGATCTTACCTCAGTTAGAAACATTACTTTTATTTATATATAATCCAGACTCCTCACAAGACTTACACATCCGAAGCTCTTGCAATAAACCAGCTGTAACGGAAAGAATCCGATGAAAATCCCTCCACAGCCTTTTTGTTGGACAGTACTGACATTTACCCGTTTCTTCTCCCTGTCGTGTATTTTGATCTTTGTTCAGATCTCATTTAACCACATCATTTGTTCTTCAGTCTTCTTCAATTGAGCCTTTATTATGTGATTTTGATTAAAGACTTATCTTTTACTACCTAATTTTCTATTGCATGTTGCCGGACTATTGACAGTAAGGTCGTATTTAACTAAGCTCAAGGTCATGGTGTGATTCAGGGTGTGACTGTTAACCTTTTTACTGTCTGCGGATAGATATTTGATCCCATCTTGTTGGGAATAATTTATTGATTCTCAGGTAACGTACCCTTTGGTATTATCTGTTTCTTTTATTGCTTGGCACGCTACTTTGCGTCAGAGAAATTTCTGACTGTACAACGGCACACACAGATCTTCCCATAGACGTCAACCCACCAACGAAGGAAGAAATCAGAATGGCCGTCAGACAAATCAAGAACGGGAAAGCAGCGGGACCCGACAACATACCAGCTGAAGCACTGAAGTCAGACATCGAAGTAACTACAAACATGCTTTACCTTCTATTCAAAAAGATTTGGGAAGAGGAACAAGTGCCGATGGACTGGAAAGAAGGACACCTCGTCAAGATTCCAAAGAAAGGAGATTTGAGCAAATGTGAGAACTACAGAGGCATCACACTACTGTCAATACCAGGGAAAGTTTTCAACAGAGTGTTGCTGAACCGGATGAAAGACGCAGTAGACGCCCAACTCCGAGATCAACAAGCTGGATTCCGTAAGGATCGATCGTGCACAGACCAAATTGCAACACTACGGATCATCGTCGAACAATCAGTTGAGTGGAACTCGTCACTATACACCAACTTCATTGATTATGAAAAAGCATCCGACAGTGTAGATAGGAGGACATTATGGAAACTTCTTCGACACTACCGAGTTCCCGAGAAGATTGTCAATATTATCCGGAACTCATACGACGGACTACAGTGCAAGGTCGTGCATGGAGGACAGCTGACTGAAGCATTCCAAGTAAGGACCGGAGTCAGACAAGGCTGTTTACTCTCTCCCTTCCTCTTTCTTCCGGTAGTTGACTATATTATGAAGACCTCGGCATCTGAAGGAAAATACGGAATGAAATGAACAGTTTAGATGCAACTAGACGATTTGGACTTCGCAGACGACCTAGCCCTCCTATCACATACACACGAACAGATGCAAACAAAGACAGCCAATATGGCAGCAGTCTCTGCATCAGTAGGCCTCAGCATACTCAAAGGGAAAACCAAGGTCCTCAAATTCAACACGCAGAACAGCAATCAAATCACTCTTGATGGCGAAACTCTGGAAGATTTAGAATCGTTCACATACCTGGGAAGCATCATCGATGAACAAGGAGGTTCAGATGCAGACGTAAAGGCGAGGATCGGCAAAGCAAGGGTCGCATTCCTACAATTGGAAAACATATGGAACTCAAAACAACTTTCAACCAATATCAAAGTGAGAATCTTCAATGCCAACGTCAAGGCAGTTCTACTGTATGGAGCTGAAACTTGTAGAACTACAACAACCACCATCAAGAAGGTATGCATAGTGAATATAAAACGGGTCTGAGAATTTAATTTAAGTGTAACACAAGTTATTGTCTTGATTACAAACTTCGTAATCTTAAGAATATTTATTTAGAGGGAAAGAAGAGAGAAAAGAAGTGAACATCTAGTGAAAAGTTTCATCCATGATAAGAATAATAATTGCGTAATGAATATCAACCTCAGAAGGAAACCAACAATTTAGAAAAATAAAATAAAAATCCTTCAATGCACTCGGATGAATACATCTAGATTTATGTAATAGTATACAGAGTGAAACGGATATTAGTATAAATATTTGTGCAATAATAATTAAGATTGATGCTATGAAAGTCAAAATTGATTTCAAAGGACAATCTGGAGTTAAATATGTTTAGAAGGATAAGAAGATATAAAAAGAATATCTAATGTGTAAACAAACTGGATGTTTGTGACCCTTGTGAAGCCTTATTCCATAAACTTGTAGTTCCGATCATCAGACTATGGCAATCTTCCTCCTGTATTGCTTCTCTCTGTTAATGATTGAGTAAATTACTAATTTTAAGTTCATTCTATGTACTTACTCAGTCATCGCCTCACTTTTTAAAGCATCATCAGCCTACCACTTATCACTCGCAAGATGAGCTATCTCCCTGACAAAACTAATCAGAGGAAGGAACTAAGGTTGACACAAATGAATTTTGTAAATTTAACGTCTTTCTAACTCCACCTGTAACTTTTCTAGGGTTACTGCCGGTCCCAAGCCTACAAAAAAGAGGAGAGTTGGGCGTGGGGTCGACAACCCCGTCCCGCAGAAAACGGCCGTGCTGAAAAACGCTAAGCAGAATAAACAATTTGAAACATTTAGACTCTGACTTGAGGAATTTCTTTTCACATGAATCATGACACCTCATGATGAAAGCCGAAATGCTTCAGAAGTCACGAGGCCGATGCCCTTTCCAACGACCAGAGCAACAATTTATATAGGTACATGGAAAGTTCGGACAGTATGGGAGACCTGAAGTGCCAATCGAAAAGCCACGGAACTGAGGAGAAACAACTTCGCGGTACTCGGAATCTATGAAACACATTGGAGCTAATTCAAAGTTTCATTTTGAATGTT